ATACATATACATATTTAATCCGAGCTCACAACTCTCACTCACAACACTCTCGCCATCATTGATGTTATCATTCAATGCCTGTACGCAGTCTGCTCTACCAATTGCTGCCAGGGCTGTTGCACATTCATGTCTAACCAGTGGGCTCTCATTGGAATTCTGCAAAGATGCGATCAGCTGGTTTGCACCACCTTCGTTTTCCATCTGGCCAAGTGCATATGCAATCTCGTGTCGAAACAGTATGCTACTGCAACCCAGACCTAAACATAGAAATAAATGTAATTTACTCAAAGAACAATTTTTAGTAAACGTCTACTTCGGGTTTTGTCTGGTACAATAGTATGTTTTTATATGGGAAAGCTGGACTTATCACAACCTCATTTGCATGTAATGTCAATAGCTGGGCTATCAAGGAAACTCACAAACTAGATAGTATACTGCAATTTGCTTATACCTATCATTTATTTTTGTACCGTTTGTGAACTATTTAAAGTAATAACTGTGTAATGAGTCGATCATTAAACAATACAACTATTGATCATTTTTTAATACGATGTCGTTGGTAAGGCAGTACGTGTTCACATTAATATGTGAATAAGCAAGGCAATCATGTCTTAGATCAGACTGTCATGACTTCAAATTTGCGATATTTTGCATGATCAACTACTAGGTTTTTGACAATATTATTGTGCGAGTGTAATAGGCGGGTGATACGCTCCCATACCTGAAATTCCGATGTAACAATAAGAGTACAGACTGCTCTACTTTCCAACATGCTGTATACGTTTTGGGATATTGCAATTCACATCCGAGAAACACCAGTGACTTCAATATTCGTGAATGTCACTCTTTCTTGAATATCATTAACATTTGTTTAATTTATTGAATGAATGAGTCTAAATTGTATCTCGTAAAGTTATAAACTATACAAACCTTCAGCCAAAGCAAGTACGGATTGCTTGCAGCCCTTATTTCTCAACGCAAACATTGCTCTGTATCTCTCAAACATAGATAGTTTGTCATCCAGTAAAGTCTTTCTCAAAGACTCAACGTTGTTGTCCTTTGCAGCAGGAGCTGGGTCCACGGTTGGATAGGGACTTTCGGGTAGCTGCTCTTGTTCTTCACTATTCACCCACTCTATTCTGTCCAGTGCCAGTTGACAGGTTTCTGCAATCTATCATTTAAAACAAAATGAACGCATCAGCGCATGTCCAGCTGTAGTAATGTAGTTATACATTGAATTAAATCATTGGATAAAGATAAATTATAGAAACAATATTCACGGATCATGGATGTAGAATGGACACACACGAATAGCAAATAAAGTGATACATGCTCGAAAGGTTGTACCTGTAAATAATTTTACATTAATTTGTTTTTGTTTCTTACAAAAAGTGTGAATGCTAAAAGCAAAACTGAAAATTTCTATAAAATAGTAGATTTACTAGATACCTTATAGATACTTATAGTCGAAAGATACTTTATTTATAAAGTTGTTATATTTCAGTATATTCGCTCCTTATGTTCTTGTAGAAATGATTTAGAGGGTAACGGCAAGATAAAATGTGTCCATGTCGGAATCAAAATGAGTCTAGAGTATATTAGATCATTGTTCATTACAGTAACAATATACATTACCTCTACGTTTTGGTCTGTAGCATACTTCTTTAGTATATTGACTGCTGTATCTGAACCAATAGCACCAAGAGCTTCCGCTGTAAGTAGATGAAACAACTGCCTTACAGAACATGTATGACTAACGCATTGGATTTTGATTGTCATGTTTTTGAAGCAAACAAATCAGCATTTCTTCAATAAATCAATACATATATCGTGTACACATGTACACTATTTTGTCTACAGTGATTATACGTATAATAAAAATAGTTTTCATCAGACGAAATCTAAATCGAATGTGTAGAACAAAGTGTTACGACAACAATATTGTTCATAAAATTTTGTTTTGATATTGTAACAAGCGATGTTTAAATTGTGTGTTAAATTCGGCATACGAGACAATGGTCGAAGGTTTTTATTTTACTGAAAGATACTTCGATTTATTTAAACAAATGTTAAAATGATTGAAAAAGAAACATGTGCTACTATAAGCAGCACGGCATGGAGCAGATTGACTTGAATTGATGCAGTCTTAACACGCGCTATACGGTGATATCGCCAGTTGGATCGTACTATTTTGGTCATGTCACACGTCATGCTGGATCACGTGATTTGTCGCCTAAATGGCGTACATTTGGGGAAATTCAGTCACGTAGGCGAGATTTATTGTTACACTCTGGGGCTTGGCGTCAGTACATCAGTACATATTTATTCTTGCTTGCTTACGGTTTTG